CAGGTAAGTGTGAAGATCCAAAAAGCTGACTATTTTATTTATTCATCCTCAAATAAGTTTTTATTCCAAACGTGTGTTGCGTTTTATTTGTCAATAACTAAATTTATTTTAAGTATTTATTGAACTTATTCATTTATTTTATATATTTATTATAAATATTATCTCTATATTGTTTTCCATTTGTATCCAAAGTGTGTTAAAGTATTTCAACATCATTCCAAAATGGAATTTCATTATTACATTTATGGTTATAGGTATTAAAAAAGTTGCCCTTGATAAGGCGGTTGTGCTAGCAAAAATTTTATAAATTTTTTCATTATTATATGAAAACTGGATTAGGGGTAAAATGAAGATTAAGATTGATAAGATATGTTGAAGATTGATATTGAAAAGGAAGGATATCATTTAATTATTAATTAGCTATCATAACGCATACTTATTAAACAACATGACATAAAAAGGTGAAATATTAAAATGAAATATGAGATTCTAATATAAAGTGCGATTTATTAATGTTAATTTTGCAACTATGGGCACCCAAAAGAAAAATATTTTTTCTGTGAAGTACTGTATAGAAAGATATATTCTACACTAGCTGTAATTATTAACTGTCTATCCATTCAGTTTCAAGAGGTTGAGAATAGTTAATAATAATTCTTCATTCCTTATTAAGAAATGCCATGTTTAATCTCATTTTTCTTTGTTGGAGATTTTTTTGTTTTGTTCACTTTTTTTTATGGATTAAAAGTCGCGTCAAAATCGGTTAAGTGTTTCGAATATTAGCTGGAAAGAACATAGAAGACAAAAGTTTCAATATCTATACTTTTATACGTATTCAATATAAAAGATGTTATTTTGACATTAAAAACAGATGCTTACATTTTATATTTCAGTATATTTTTACCAAAACCATTATTTTGAAGGATTATTAGATTATTATTATTATATTATTATTACATGCAATCGGATCAATGTACGTTAACAAGTCAATTGATAAAATTAAAATTAAATTTCAATAATATTTAAAATCAGTGATAACAAATGGACACAATTAACATAATAAAATCAACATCAACTAGGTAATAAACAGAAACAAACTAATGAAATTAAGCTGATATATCACAAAACAACCTATCCGATGCATGTTAAAACACCATCAAGTTTACATGGCTTGTCATGTTAAAAATATTGAATGCCAAGGCATCTTCACTGGAGGAATTCACTCAGTTTATACTGCGTATTCTCAATCAGGATTTTCTTTACGTTCTTAGAGAATGCTGGTGGTGGCATTGATTTAATGTGGTCCGGTAGTTTATTATAAAGTTTTATGGCTGTACGCTTTATTGTTTGCTGTGCCTTTACAATCCTAGAATATGGGATGGAAATTTTCTTTCTCTCTCTTGTATTATATTGGTGGAAATCTTGGTTCCTATTTCAGGTATTCAGATGATTGATTCAGGTATTCATATACAGCCTTCATTAATTTCCCACAATTTGTAAAGGGCTTTCATAAAGAAGGTTAACCAACGAATTGTCAAAATAAAAATTTTCAATTTTCTTCATTCAGTATTAAATCGTTCTAATACTATATAATCATAATACTATACAAAAGTAATTAAGTAAAATAAATACAATCATTTATATTTAAGTATAATAAATAAAAACTTAATTTATTTTGATTCTTTACGTTGCATAACGACGTTTTCAGGAGTTTGGTTTCGCTTCAAGATCCTCCCAATTCTCGAAAAATGAAGAGTGTTAACACCATAGTGAATCAGACAAACTTGTTGAAAGGTCCCATGAGAAATTCTGCCAGCAATTTGACGAACGTAGGCGTACCACCTTCTAAGTTGCTGCAGTCTAGAATCGCATCAGCTGGTAACGTCAAAAGTAATCTGATCACTATGAAACCGGCGTTGAAAGGATCTTATACAAGCCTTAAACCGGTGAACACTCATCTGCCTGTGGCGCCACCTATTAATGCTACTCCTCAAGGACATAACGCGACCTACTTGTCGTCCGTGAATGCTACGGTCGAAATTCAAGAGGCAAGAAATAACAGACATGATGGGGTAGGTCACGTGACACCAGCAAATAATAATGATAAATATAAAAAACTTTATATTAACTGTTATTGTTTAAACTTGTATACTATTGTTCCGTACAGGTTGACGGTAACACCATTAAAATGTCTGGCGATGGAGTTTTTCTGAAGCCTAGTATACCTATCAGGAGTGGCCTTCCCAGACCCACATCTGCAACTAACATACCCAGACCAGTCTCAAAGATACCAGGCCCCAAAAGGTAAACATATTTTGAAGTTGAAACAATTTTTTAGTTAAATTTAATTTTCCCGATAATTATTTTTGAGGTTTTATAAAATAAAGACGACTTTAAATTAGCGAGTTTCATAAACATTTGCATAAATTAATATGAACTATATAATTGGTGTTTTTTTTTTGAGTAGAAACATGATATTTATTTATTCATTTAATTCGAACTTAATTTAGTGTATATATATTATATTTTACAGGTTTACTCTCCCAAAACATGATCCGTCAAAAATAGGAACCTAACATATTTATCATTATTATATGCTACTAATTCAAATATTATGGAATTTAAAAGTGCCTTATAACTATTAAAGAAGCTATCCGAATCATTGAAAAAATTGTCAACGCATATCTCACTGAAATTGATATTTACATTATTATTTATGTGTTTATATTTATACATTTTTTGTACATTGAAAAACTTATTAAAGGTTATTTAACTTTGTTTAATTTTTGTGAGGAAAAAATGTAAAACCTTTCTGTTGAAAAACTGTATGTTTCTTTTTGTTACTTCAAAATAATCATTCAAGTCCACATCATCACAAGGCAATTTCATGAATTATTTCACAATAATTAGTGAAATAATTGACGGTTTCCGACGTTTCTACGCCAACGTTAAATATCATAAGAAAATGAAGGATTTTATTTTTACTACGTTAATTATCAGGAAATTATGGAAGAATCTTAATCTTCTAGCAGATACCGTTTAAAATTATTTCCTAATTATGTGATTGTAAACACATTAAAATTAAATCTGTTTTTCATTCAGCAAATCTGTTATTTTAAATCAATATTTAGTAGTAAGGTTTAGAGTGAAAACTAAACGAAAACAAATATACTTAAAAGTTAGGGAATTGCACTGGCCTATTGATAGAAAATCAAGATTAACTGGAGAATTAAATTCTCATCTATAAACTATAAAACTATTATAAAGTTAATATGGAAATACGGAATCTAGCTTTGGAGATGCACTAGTATGTTCAACATGTTAATTTGGATTTTTAACATAAGTGTTATGTTTAAAATCAAACTCTACACGAATACCTGAGAAAAAAGCGAAAAACATTGCATAAAGCTAAAGTCCATATGAATATCTCACTAAATTCTCTGATGGAAGTTCAAAACGATGAGCGACTCGAAAAGATTTGGCAATACATTTAATTCATCACTGTCACTTTAAATTGATATTACATAATAATAACTGGTGCCGACATTTTAGAGCCAAAGACTGTGGAAATAGATGAAAGTCGAAACTAGATATGCTGTGCAGCAAACTACGATATCTGAACTGCTCGTTTAATAATAACGAAAATGCATCTTTCATGGAACTAGAAAAGCTAATGAAATAAAACTAATAGTATAAGCTAAACATTTATATCCATGATTTAAATTATTTTCTGAACTAATTACTCTAAAAAGAATAATTCACCAAATTCTATTTAAAAAAATTATCACAACTTCCATCATAAAATTGGTGTCATCGTACCAATTAAAAAAAAATTAATTTAGAGCAAAGTCGTGTCTTACATCATTTCTTCTGAATAAGTGGATAATTTTTTCTTATAATCCATAGAGCTTCATCACAATACAAACGGAATTGATTCCGCTGAAATTCATCAAGCACAATGAATGCTACAATTCACATTTTCCATTCTCGAAGGTCGTCTAAGGTGACCACAAGAATGATGTGGGAATAAATATATTTATAGTTTACGTAGTTCAAATTTTGCTCATTGATTGTAGTGTATATTGAACTGAATACAAATGTTTTCTCCAAACTATCAGCAGTTTCTGGAGAGTTTTTTGTTATATATAATAATAATAAATAGCTTTATATAAGTATATGTTACAACATAGAATGAAATAGTGTCAAACAATGCTAATAGTACAATACAGAACATTTTCCAAAATGATACATAACATTGATTCCATCAATTCATGCTCGCATTATTGCAAAGAAAATACTCGCATAAACAGTATGGTTGAAATTAAATAACTTTTTTTTATCCTCTTCTCCAATATAGTAAGATTGGTTATATATACAAATTTTAGAGGCTCAGTATCCGTGCGGTATAGTGACGCATTCAACTTGCTAGTGGGTTCGATTCCCACCGTAATCTTGGGCCGTTCGGAATCGACGTTAAACTGTAAACCTAATGGAGTTATATAGTAGCCATGTGCAAGTAATGCTGGTAGTATCACTCTGTGGTGTGATACTGCAATAAGCGTGAAATCTAAACATCACTTCAGAGTAAGATTTCTATTTCTAATAGTGTACTTTTACTGTTTAATAATAATTGGACTTTATTCACTCACATACTTGATAATTAGAAAATTACAAACTTAGTAATGAGTAAGCATGGAATGACTTTGTAGGCTATATACGAAGTTCTGCGGTGTTATATTACACATTATATATATATATATATATATATATATATATATATATATATATATATATATATATATAAAGTCGTGTTACACTATTTATAACTCAAGAATGGTTGAACTGATTTGGCTGAAAATTGGTGGGGAGGTAAATTAGAACCATGAGAAGGACATAGGATACTTTCTTATCATGTTCCCGTGGCACTTGACATAAAACGTTGTATAACAAAACGCAAATCTCATGGAGTAACAACATCCATCTGATGAAGAAAATGCAACGTTGTTTTAGCGCAGTGAACAGCGTGTCGGACTTCTACTCCGAAAGACGTGTGTTTAATAACCAACAGACATTGAGGAAATTTTTTTTTATGTCATCGACTAGACTCATTGGTACAACGAAACGTAATATAAGCTAAACAAATTCATCTAATTTCTCAAAATTAAAATTATGTCAAAGTCTGAGGCAGGACAGTAATTGCAGTTAAACTTATCTGTAATAAATTTGATTTTGCAGTTATTTCCGTTTTTTCTTTAAGTGTTGGTTCATTCTCTCCTTATTCGTTCGGTATTAATTTGTTTGTTCCATATTATATTAGCTACGTGTATTATTTACATCTGAAGATGTCACTGTGTTTTGGTGAATAAGAATAACAATAATAGTTTATTTATTCCCAATACATTTACACACAATTATAGAGGAAAAATAATTATCAATTGGATGAAGAAATAAATGAAGAAAACGTATATGAGTAAGAGATTAAGTAAATAATATACCTATAGAATAAAATAAAAGAGCAATATATATAATGAGCAAGTGAAATAAAATAGCAGCAATAGCTCAACTGCATGTATAAAACTGAAATAAATGAAAGTATCATGATACCCCATTATGCTATTCTATATGACCTGTCAAAATCAATGACAGTTTATCAAAATATACATCACATTTACCACAACACCTATCAACATCATTTATATTATATATATATATATATATATATATATATATATATATATATATATATATATATATATATATATATATATATACGATAAAAAGTAGTGTTAGTTACACTCTTTATAACTCAAGAACGGCTGAACCAATTTGGCTGAAAATTGATGGGGAGGTAGCTTAGAACCTAACTATAGATTATAATTGAATATAAACTTAAATTCAAACACTTGAACTTATGATTTACACTTTATTACAAACGACTTCTTCTTTGTAAGCATTCAAACGAATGCTTACAGAATAAAGGATTATTCTGTAAGCATCTGAAGAAGTCGTTTGTAACGACGAAACGCGTCATGCTATGTAGTCAATAAAGTGTAAATCATAAGTTCAAGTGTTTGAATTTAAGTTTATATTCAATTATAATGGATTTACATCATGTAAACGCCAACACTATTAAATATAGATTATAATGTGGATGTAATTGGATAATGAAATCCATAGTCTATTGGACGCTATTACATATGGATATAGCATATTTCACGGAATGCCATAACCAACAAACAAGGCCAATTCTTGAATGTTTGTAGTCTGAATCTAGGAATTTCATGTTTTTCCCATGGTCAATTATATGTGGGCATGTTCACGAGTCGGAAAACCATCTACGTTATTTGTTCTTGCGCCCGATAAAAACGAAAAATATCTTCAATCATAAAGTGCTTCGCGAAAGGGAGCAACCCATGCACCAAAATACATGGCTAATAAAAAAAAACATTAAAATACTGGAGTTTCCATTTATATTTATTATCCTAATGAAAAACTGAACTTGATAAAATCCAAAATCTGCTCATTTATTGCCTATAAGGCGAAACATAGTTCGCCGGGTCAGCTAGTTTTCATATATAATAAACAGTACAATGAAACTATGTATAATCAATAGGTTACTCCCCATAATATGCTGAAAAAATAAAACATAGAATATCTGATCAAAAAATAATAATGTGAAAAGTAACCTACAGTTCATTCCTGCACTGAAATTTAATGAACTCTGATGAATTAATAATGAGTATCTAAATATCATTATTTCATCAATTAGAGTGGGGTAAAGTATCAACATTTCATTACGCAATCATTATTTGATTGACCAAACCTAAGGAAAATGCATAGCCAAAAGTGGGTAATTTTGAAGATCGCGATAAAAGTTGTTATAATTTTATTGTATATGAAATCTGTATTAATACTAGATTTTCCAGATCTTGAAACATAAATTACATTCAGTCAGCACAAATGTCTTCTTCAAATCCTGAATTTTTTACATTAGAAGAAAATTTCAAAAAACCTTGAAGTAGCAATAAGTGGTGACTCTGTCCTATATGCCATTTTGGTATTAAAAAATGAGACCATTATTTTCTATATAAAACCAAATATTATATATAGAAAATTTTTTGTTACTGAAATCCAACTTTAACAGTTATTTTGATTATTGATTTGACAGCAATCTACTTATTAGCAAATTTGTGGAGTAATTGATGAGAATCAATGATCACTTCAGAATAAATACACTGAATTTATTGAAAAAATTATGTCACTGTGATATTGCCATGGCTATTTTATGTCCTAATTTTCTGTTAAATTATATGGAGATAGTAAATTCTATTTGAATATCTTCAGCAGCTTAGGGTAGTCCAAACATTTTCATAAAATGATCTCCAAAAAGGAAATTATTTTATAAGAGGGCACATGAAAGTATAAAGAGTGTAATTTTTATTAGAACTCAACTTATAAAATAATCAAATTATATCTACAAATCTTCAGTATCGGAATCTGAATCTGCCTCCATTGCTTGCTTTGCTGCTTTCTCAGCATCTGCTAAAATGTGGCTGGGAACTCTTTCATGTTTACCATTACTATCTTTTCCCACCCAAGATAACTCCAGCTCAAAATTTTTATCCTTCAACTCATCATGGACTAAGTAAATACTACAAAAATTAAATATGTAAGTGACTAACCAGCAAAAAGTTTATTCTATTATTACTAAGATATCTTACATTTTAGCAGCTTCTCTAACCAACTCCTTGCAACTCAACTCTCCTAATTTCAATTTTTCAATTTCTGTTTTGGCAGATTGTTTTGCTTTTCCAGTAGCACAACCATTGAATCCCTAGAAAAATAAGCAATATTAAAAATAATCTTTGAAAAATATAATTCATAAGTTAGAGAGGTTGCTGTCTACAAACTACATTATTTTTGTAGATATTTTAACTAATTAACATAATACTCTAACTTACATAGTTTACACCTGAGGGATCAATTAAATACATCATAGGCTTATCTTCTTCATAACTAGCAAGAATAATGCTACATCCATAGGGTCTTACAGCACTGTAAAGTGTATATGCATGCATATACATGCTAACACGGTCATTAAGATATTTGAGGGGAATGCTTACACCATATTGTGATCTATAATTCGATGCCTCCTTTCTTGCTATATCAACTAATTGCCTAGCATCAGCAATAAGACCAGAAAAACACTGTGGAAGTATAATGTTTTTTTATCGCTTTTATAACTAATTTTATTTCTCACCATTCCAATATGAGTATCTATATTGTATATTCTCCTGTTAGTACCAGACTCGTGTAGTTTAGACATGATTAATTTTTCTGCTGCAAGTACTACTCCATCAGTTCCTTTAAGACCTATAACTGTTCCACTATTTTCCACGGCTTTCATAGCATATTCCACTTGAAAAACTCTGCCATCTGGAGAAAACTGAGAAGCCGAAAGATCGTACTGGAAGAAAAAATAGAACAATATATCTGCATCATTAACTTAACAATATCCTATATTTAACTTATAAAATGTATATATTTTACTTACACCAGTGCCTATAGAACTCATTTTATATTTAAAATCTGATAAGTTATATGTTTTAACTCTTTAGTATATAATATATTATTTTTGATTATAAATTTACTAATCATCCAGTTTGCAATTACAATGCAATAGGTTATTTCTATGGAACCGTTTGTTCTATGTAAGCGGTGCTTTGTCATCGTCATAGATGATTTTATAAATGAAAATTTCATGAAAAGTAGATGGTAGATTTTAGATCAATTTTGATTGTGAATTTCCAAAAAACTGGTTTAGGAGGGAGCAGAGTCATATTCACGGCGTTGGTTTCAACGTTAAGCGTCGATATGATTTAGTCGCCTTTGAATGTCAAAGATTACGTTTTAACCCTCAAGATTAATCAGAGGTAGCAGTAAAGATCTTCAAATAGTTAGCTTCGTTAACAAAACTTGCCTTGAAAGCTTTGAGGTGCCCCCGAACCAACACCGTTAGTGCTGTATTTCCCTTATTACTGTCTTTATATTTCTTGTTTACTTTTGTACAAATTGTAGACGGCTTGATAATGCTACTTGTTTTTTACACTTTTTTAATTTCCTGAACTGGTTTTCATTTTTCTAGCGTATGAGTCAAGTATGGAGCCATAATTCCATATAAACTATGATGTTATTTTGATAAGGCAATATATAGTATGTATTAGTATTGATTATATGCCTTGATTAATTAAATTCACTCTTATTATCCATTGCAACTACAAGTCAATCAATCGTATTGGTAATATAACAGAATGATTTGCTTGAGTGTAACACGTCAGAGCTACATAATTACTTTATTTTGGTTTTTTTTCTCTTTCGCTATTTTAATTCACCAACTTAATCTCCGTAAGTATATGTCAGTTTACATATGTTATACATTCATTGGCTTAGAATGGCTTTTAAAAGTTAGAAATATTCAGAAAAATTAACTCACTGCATTGTGAGTATTACAGATACAGAGGTTGGGTGTATAACGTTATTGATGAATGATGGAAGGTTACTCTTATAGTCTTCTAGCTATAGGGGTTTGCTACTTAGAGTGTAGATCCTTTTGAGTCAAAAATTTTTCATTTAAACTAAAAACTTCAATTGTTGATATAAAAGAATTCTAAACGATCACATAATAAAACCATTGTCGTATCCTTGGAAGGATTACCCTAAGTTCAATCTTTAATCTTACATTGTTTTCTTCTTTTCCCAATGGTTTAAAGTGAAGGAACAATTATGCTGTCCATTTTCACCATAATCATATGATTTAGGATTTTCACCAAGTATGTATGGTCGAAATGTTCATGATAAACTAAACTAAAATATATACGATGAATAGATGAACTCTTTCCGGACTGATAGGAGTTGGTCAACAGGAACTTCTTTCCAAGATGTAATTTATTTATTTTTCGGAGACATTATTCTAATACTAATTGTTTACTAATCGCTATAATTAATGATAATTACTTCTTATTCTACAAGCACGACAAACCCCTTTTACATCGAAGTATCGGTGCACTCATTGCC